GGGCGCGTGGCAGCTTCTCGGCGGCGCACAGCCAGCGCGGCGACTCGGGCAGGAAGGGCATGAAGACGACGACGATGATGCAGAAGACGATCTGGAAGGCGCACGGCAGCCGCCACTGGATGGAGCCGGGGTAGGACGCCATGCCGTAGTCGAGCCAGTTGGCGATGATGAGGCCCATGATGAGGTTGGACAGCTGCATGGCCATCATGCGGCCGCGGGACTTGGGGGTGGTACCTATCGCATTCCTAGTTAATAATAGCCATGAAGATTCGCCGAATGAACCCTACATTCAGACAGCCAGATCGGGATGACGGTCGTCATGATACCAAGGCCAAAGCCAGCAACCAGACGGCCAACAAGGAACTGGGCCAGGCCGAACGAGGATGCCTGAAGAGTGGCCCCGATAGCGACGATGACGGCGCCAGCGATGTTGTTAGGCTTGCGGCCGAAGCGATCACCCATGGCGAACTGGGACACGGCACCGAACATGGAGCCCACCTCGTAGGAGGCGACAAGAAAGGCCAGCAGCGACGAGCCCGGATTGTTGAAGACGGCCAGGAACTCGGGCGAGGTGGTCAGGCCGCCCATGAAGCCCAGGTCGTAGCCGAACAGCAGGAAGCCGATGGAGCAGCAGAGGGTGACGGCGTAGACGAGGGGTTGGCCGCGGAGGCCGAGGAAGGAGGGCGACGAGGAGGACGCCATGATGCTGGCTCAGTGAGTCAAAAGAGACGACGTTGAGGAGGGATATTGAGGCCTCCACGCCGATCTATATAGTTGTAGATACAGGGCTATGGCCAGAGCTTGACGGGACTTGGCTCCCTTGGCTCTGGCAGCCACGCCAGAGATAAATACCCACCGCACCAGCATACTCCGTAGTAATCGCAAGCACATGTTCGCAGCAATCAATCCCGATGGATTCGTGTTAATCTGTTCCTCCTGTTTTATTTCGCGTGGAACAGCAAATTCCCCCGACGAATCACACGCATCAGAAACATGCACCCCTCGGACCATGTCCGAGCAGCGCCCTGACTCGCGGCACTCGCCGAGCCAGAAACGCGGAGAAGGCGTGGAGAAGAGTCCGGGGAGGACGGAGCCCGCCCGGCTTTTCCCCGGCCTTTGCTCCGACGGGTCCACTGCCGCGCGCGCGATTGGCTGGCGAGTGCGTGGCGGCTGATTGGCTGCGAAGGACCGGCTGTATGGTTCGGCAGAAATATTATTCGGCAGGAAGAAGAAATATTGTTTCGCAGGAATATGCTGTGAGGTATCCACCATGTTCTGTAAGAGGAAGGATATACGAGTATGCTGTCACACTTGCTGTGACACAGTTCGTTCTCGGTGGGGTGCTGTCTGACACGTGACTCGCATACTGACCTGCCGTATCGGGGTTAGCGTGGCAGGTGGACCAGAATGTTGGGGATATAAAACCCCGGATTCTTCAGCAATAATAAGGATAATGGCGATGGAATGGAAAGTTCCAGTAGGAGATAACTTGGATCAGACGGTTAAGGATTTCTATCTCATACTGCATTCAGATGGGATCGTTACTGGCGTACATTTCCAGGATCAGAATGCAAAAAAAGGAACAGAAACAAAAAATTCATTATATCCATGATCGAGAAAGTAAGCTTGAAATAGTACACTGTCCTATCCAACTCTGATAAATAGCACAAAAAAAAAGTCGTACAAGATTCCAACCGCACAGGTATCTTCAGCATATATCAAACAAGAAAAGTTCCAGGATATGACAAGACAAAGTCCTTCACACAGTAAACGAACTGGTCGGCCTCACAGCCAGCCCAGCCTTCTCGTACGTCCGATCAATAACCTCCATCTGCGCAATGCTGTCCGCGCCATCGATCCACACCCTGGAGCCCGCGCGCCCTTTGACGCGGTGCACAAACTCCTCCAGCTGGTACCGGTACGTCGTCCACCAGGCCGCCCCACTATTATTATTACGACCGGGATGCTTCTCCGGCCAGTCGTATGCCTTGATCTGCTTCGATTCCGTCCAGCGTCGGACTACCTGCGAACCCTGGCGGATCGTGTGCGTGTCGCGCACGTCGATGCGGTGGTAGAACGTCGGCTGTAGGTGATTCCACAGCGTCACTGTTCGCTGCACCGTGTGCGATGTACCTTCTGTGGAAGAGGAGGAGGAGGACTCATCTACTGTCTTCTCGCCCAGCTCGATGACGCATTTCGGCCATCCTATGCTCGGCCAGTTCTTCGTCCACGACGCGGGCAGGAAGGCTGGAAACCCGCCCGCCGTCGCCAGGTCGGCCTCCAGGTGCCCGATTGCTCCAGAGCGACTGCGGTAGGTGGCCGTGATGGCCTGGTCGATCTGGGGTTCGGGTTGCAGACCCTTCTTCCTCGGCGGCGGCATCCCCCGGTAGCTTGCGCTCAGCACCTCAGGACGAGCGTCGTCGAGGATCTGCCGCAGACAGGACAGATTGTACGTGCCAAAGTCCATCATGCAGCCGCCAGCCAGCGCGTACTGGAAGCGAATGTCGTCCTCCGGCATGAAGCCCTTCGGCGCATACTGATAGACGGAGGCGCGGACGACCGGGCCCGCCAGCGGGTCGCGCCGGATCAGGGAGAGAAAGGTCTGCCAGGCGGGGTGGAAGCGGTAGTGGAAGGCCTCCAGCAGGACCGGAGCGTTGGGAGCGGTCACCAGCGGATGCTCAAACAGCGCGCGCGCCTCGACGGCATTCGACACGGACGGCTTCTCGAGCAGGACATGCTTGCCGGCGCGGAGAGCGCGCAGGGCCCATTCGTAGTGCAGCGAGTTGGGCAGCGCGATGTAGACGCACGAAATCGCGGGGTCGTCCAGCAGGGCTAGCAGCGTCAGATGAAGTGAAATGGCATCGTTTGTGTCGCAAGGACTCACCCTGGTAGCTGTCATGGACGATGGGGATCTGGTGTTTCTTGGCGTATGCCTCCGCCTTCTTGCGGTCTCTGGCAGCCACGGCCGCGACGATGACTTCGGGGTGCGACTTGGCAGGGGCAATCAACGCGAGGGGACTACCAGGTCAGCGCAAGTCATTACGTGGTGAGATGGATGGATCTTACGCGATGTTCGACGCCCCCAGCAGACCAAAGCGCAACGCGTCATCCTGCTTTGGGGCGGTTGGTGGGCGGATGCTGGTGTAGATGCGGTGGAGGAAGTTGAGCAGGGGCATCTGGCCGTTATTTCTCTTATTGACGATCGAAGGTTAGAAACATGTACAGGACGATCTGGTTAGTATCAGCGGAGCTATGGCTGTCGTGAGTCGTACATGTATTTGTCAGCTGTCAGCCTAACTAATAACTAGCGCTGGGATGAGCCATCCGCTCAGGCTGCCAAAAACGGAGTGCTGTACGTAGCCCTGTCAGAGAGACTCACTGTATACAAGATGGATTCAGTGTTAATGATATCTTTGATATCTGCCTGTCGACCCCTGAGTTTCTCAAGCAATTCGGTAGTCTGCGATTGGCCCAGTCCCATACAGGAACAGCCAATCAGGATGAAAGCACAGTACGGCACAATTATGTCGAATACGACAGCTATATTTCATGATTTCTATCATATATCTTCATCTCGTTATTCTTCATTACAGCTTATCCTCAATCTGATCAGTATGAGGCGACACAAGATACATCATGCGGATTGAGCCATGGGACAGACGGCGACAAGGCGTCTGGCATCTCCGAGAAAAGCAGGTAAATTGCCAACAGATTCTCCAGAAGACAGGCAATTATGCAATAAATCAGCTTAATTGATTGTCTATATGACATTCTGCTATTAATAGCAAATAACCGATTAATCCTGCACTGATTATACTCGACTCTCTGCTATGGAAGCATTCGGGGCACCGGGTTCTTGGCACCGTCGTCTTGGCAGAGCATTTTGCTTAGTAATCCATTAGTTAGTAACTAATCAGCATTAGTAATTCATGCACGTGACCGTATCGAATTACGTCATGCCATCAAGCCCCGCAGACTGCCATCTGCAGTACCAAGGATGGATGTAGATAAAATGCTGGAAAGGTGTGTCATTAAATGAAAGAATTACAATAATGTTGCCTGGGTAAGATTTGCTTATTGTATAGGTAGGAGGCCGAATTGACCTGCATGATTGATGCCGGATATCGCAGTGCGGGGTACTACTGTGCTGTGCAGTACATACACTATTCGTCCATTCCACAATTGCAATTCAACGAGAATCAGCCAGGAGAGTACTGGAAATTAAAGTAGAACAATGCAGAATTTATTCCAGATGGATGTACAGCTGGTTAACTCCGAAAATTACTAATGAGAATGCACGCCGGAGATAGTGGATAGTGGGGCTGTTATTTCCGCTGCTTCGTGGTGTTTGAGATGGCTTCTTCTGTATTCCTCGTGTTTCTTCTCTGAATATACACCTGTGTCGTCTATATCGATCAGTCATCCTACTGTTCTACAATGCCCTCCATCTCCGGCCAGGCAATCGTCATCATCGGCGGCTCGTCTGGCATCGGCTTCGCCGTCGCCCGACTCGCCCTGGCCGAGGGCGCGAGCGTGTCCATCGTCTCGTCGAACCCCACGCGAGTTGCCAATGCTGTGAAACGCTTGCAAGCCGAATTCCCGCAGGGCAAGATCGCCGGCTACGACTGCGATCTGAAGAAGGAGGACGTCGAGGCGCGGCTGGAGCAAGTCCTGACGGCCGCAAGGGCCAGCAACAACGGCGCGCCGCTCGACCACATCGTCTTCACGGCCGGCGACAGCCTCGCCATGAAGCCCATCCAGGACATTGATGTCGACTTTATCCGCCAGGCCGGCCAGGTGCGCTTCGTGGCCCCGCTGCTGGTCGCCAAGCTGGCGCCGCGCTTCCTCAAGCCCAGCTACACCTCGTCGCTGATCCTCACGTCGGGCTCTGTCTCGCAGAAGCCCCTGCCCAACTGGTCCGTCGTGGCCTCGTATGCCTCCGGCCTGGACGGCATGACGCGCAACCTGGCCCTGGACCTGAAGCCGCTGCGGGTGAACCTCGTCATTCCGGGCGCCGTCGACACGGAGCTGTGGGGGGAGAACCGCGAGAAGTTGGTTGCGGAGATGGCCAAGACGGCGTTTTTGGGGAAGGTGGCCACGGCGGAGGAAGTGGCCGAGGCGTATATCTACCTGATGAAGGACACCAATGCCACGGGGAGCGCGGTGAGCACGAACGGAGGGGGTTTGCTGCGGTAGCAGTAGCGTTGCAATGAAGGGAATGGATCAGCATTGTAAATAGGAAAATATACTCTGAAATGACGAACCAACTATTTAGTACTCAAATAGTCTTGAACTGTTATTGTTTACGCCCAACCAATCTCTCCTAGCAGTCTGCCAGAGAATGCCAATGACGAAATCACCGGTTGAAATCTCCTTGATGGAGAATACGCGTATCTAAATCATAAGTACCTGCATAGTAGGCAAAGAAAAAATGGAATGAAATGAAAAAGAAATGAAGGAAATGTATTCTCCAATTTCGACAACTAAATCATTTTCGTTTAATTCACATCAAATATATCCAAGGATTGGCCAGAAGCATGCTGCGTAACTATCAATCCCTTCTGGTCGAGGACTGGGTATTCCTGGCTCGTACCGCAGTACCTAGACTGAATTGGAATTGCTTCTTCAAAAATACAGCTCTTCTTGTACTGTACAGCGGATATTATTAACTCAGCGATTAAGCCTAACCTTAATATCAAAATTTCATCTAGTGTGCCCTGCAGAAAGATTATCAAGACGTGTTTGTTCATTGGATGGGATTCGGCATACAGCATCATTTTCGCCTCTGGGTAGAATATATATATTAGAGTGGACAACTAAACAGGCAGTAGACCATTACGCAATAATCCTGCGAAACGCGGGATATTCTACTATTATCGAAAACTAGTTAATAAATCGAAAGATATCATATTATTACTTTCTTTCTATTTAGTGAAACAAATTTTATTTTTATGTCACCGTTGTTGCTTTACAGACAGTACGATATTGAATAATCCATCTTGAACAAGGACGTAAGTAGGTAAAGAAGGTGAAGTTCGAAAAGACTGGAATACTAGAATTTGTAGTATTTCACGTCACAATAAAGGATGATGGAGTAATCCGACAAGATCAGAGAATATTTTAGCGAGGGAACGGCCCAACACTCAGCGGGTTTGGTTGACTGTGTAGATTCGACAGAATTGATTGCTAGGCGCTGATGGAATTAAATGTTTTCTTTTGTGCAAGTTTCTTGCGCGATAAGCATGAAGGAATGATAATTACCTTTCTGTACATATACATCTGGGCATCAGCATTAAAAAAAGATTGGAAAATAGCTTGCCTTTACTGGCCATAACAGGATAATAAATAGCACGGATTCCTGAGAAAAAAAATGAAATAAATAAAATAAAATGAAAGTAATTTTTTTGAATTGTAGTGACAATAGCAGTAAGTTAGTAATCATCAATCAGCTGTTGACTGAATTGAATTAAATTAATTAACCTCTCCTAGGAAATACATACCAAATTAATATCTCCCTCCAGAAGGGGATTGAAAATACAATTCCTGCCGTTGGAAAGATGAATAATTCTTATTTTTGTATTTTGGATTATAGTATTTCCATGTGTAGAGGTAATTAATTAGATCCTGGAAAGATTCTGATTTCCGTCCGATTTGAATAATACCGCCTCCATGTTGTACAGTACCTACCTAATGTTGCTGTTTTGCACTTAGATTTGCTTTTATAGATCGGAGATGTATGCGCATGTATGTACTGATGCAGAGGTATTAAAAGAGACACTGTCGCTTTATCTCTCGATAAGGGAAAAAAAAAGGAAGGAAAGAAAGAAAGAAAAAAGAAGAAGAAAAAGTGATCTCATCTAAATTGATCTATTATTGATCAAGGAAGATGGATTAAAAGTTCCCATCTGGGCGTTCGGGCCGACCCGCCAGGCGGCAGCATAATTTCTTATATAAGAGAGAGCCAAAGCCCCAACAGCAACTCACATAACCAACCTACATACTATATCACTACACTAATGACGAGCATCTGCAGTAACTAAAACCAACAAACGAACAAACACACCTGACATACGCATCTATCTATCCATCTACATATCTACGACTATACTATACTACATAGCCTACAACCATGTCCTCCTCCTCCTACATGGCCGACCTAATCCAACTCATGGACCCTCCCGACCCAAACACAAACTATCCCACAGAAGCAGACCTTACGCAAGGTCCTCTTCTCCTCCGCGAACGAGCATGGAAGCACCTGCTTCTGGGGAAAAAGCTCGTTCCTAAGGGGGAGGAGGTGAAGCCTGAGATGAAGGATGTACGATCGCCATCTGATAAACATGGATTTTCTTGACTGACTGGTTGTTGACTATTTGCAAGACACACGTCTCAATGTCGATTCTGCCGGAGAAATCGAGGGTTGTTGGGGTGGGGTTGGTTGAGTTGATGGATTTTGATGAGGAGAGGTTTGTCTTTCCCCCTCTCTTTCACTCTCTCTTTGTCTGTCTGTCTGTGTCTTTTTTTTTTAAATTGTTTAGTTTACTTTGTGCTAATGACGAGGCTGATGTTGTCGTTTCCACAGATTGACTGTCGATGTCGATGAGAATGGGGTCGTCAGAGATGTCTGCTTTAAATAGGTTTTTTTTTTCTTCTAATTTGTTTTTCTTTTCTATTGGTAATTGGATGTTCTTGACGATCGATGATGATTCTGTTTTTTGTTTTTGGCATGATGTTTAATTGAGAGCATTTGAGTTCAGTGTCTATATGTCTGTCTGTATGTATATATTCTTGTCATAATCATACAAATCCATACAAATCTATACACCAACATTTCCTAATCTATGTAGCAGCTCATGAAATCATCTCATCCGGCAGGAGGATAATCTGCACATCAGCAACCCCCCCAGTGCCATTGCTCACCCTCAACGAGCCGCCATACTTGATCAGCTCCTTGCCCGCCGGCGCACTGAACGGCGGACACCCGTTCAGCACCGTGCTCAACCCCTCCTGGCAGACTGTCTGGTTGATCACGAAGTAATTACCCTGCACGACGGATATGTTCAGCACCACCTCCAGGCCCGGCATGAAATACTGGTAGTACAGGGACCTGAAATCGGTGGGGTAGATGCTGTCGTCGCCGATTGCGACGTCCTTCTTCATCCCGCCGCAGAACTTGTCGATGCGGGATTGGGTGTCGGCTTGAGGGACGCCTGTTGGGATGCCGTGGTAGTTGGAAGGCGCGCAGAAGAGGGGGTTTGTTGTCGTGGGGTTCTGCGTGGTGGTTGAATCTGCCTCTGTCGTAGTAGTATGAGTGGTTGTAGTTGTGGAATCTGCTTTTGATGTTGCAGGACTAGTATGATTTGTAGTATGACTAGTGGTTGGACTTGTCGTATGACTTGTAGTATGTTCTGGTGTGTGGCTGGTAGCATGACTAGTCGTATGACTTGTGGTTGTACGATCTGGTGTAGGAGTTGCAGAAGGTGACTTCGTGGAAACTGCCTTCGATGTAGGTGTCTGAGCTGCTGTAGAGCTCGTAGGGCCTCTCTCCGTCGAACTCGAGCCAGCAGAACCGGTAGCAGTCGCCTTCGCAGAGCCAGTTGCAGTTGCGGTGTCAGTGCTCGCCGTCAACGAACACGCATCCGAACCATCACGCTTAGGGACAACGCCTGGCTGGCAGCCCGCATTCTGGTTATTCCAGATGACCTTCTCGGCCGCGCCCTTCTTTCGAGGCCACGCCAGGCTTGCCATCAGGTTCTTCACGTTGGCTGCGATCTTGCCCGACCCTGGCTGCCCCAGTCCATTCCCTGGCAGGCCCATGAAGTACGCTGCCAGCCCGGCCGCCGCCGGCGCCGCAAAGGACGTGCCTCTTCTGTTCGTACCCACGCCAGCGCCGTTGTCTGCACAGCTGATGCCGTCCGCCGGCGCCCAGACAGAGACCAGTGGCCCCCCTTGCGAAAAGGGGGCCAGATTGCCGTCGTTGTCGGTGGCACCGACGACAATCAGCCCGTCAATGTCGTTCGCCCACAGCGCCGGATAGCGGTCGACGTCGGGACGGCCTCTCATGGCGTCGTTGCCCGCTGCGATGGTGAACGGCACGTCGAGCTGTACAATCTCCTGCGTCAGCTTCTTGATGATCTGCGCATTGCGGTCGTTGGCGGGGATGGAGAAGCCGAAGGAGCAGTTGATGACGGCCTTTCCCTGCAGTTTGCGGTTCAGGATGTCGTTCTTGACCTCGATCATCGCGTCCATGTACGTCGACGTGAGGATCTTGAACCCGTTGGTCGTGTCAGCCTGCAGCTTGACCACAACCACGTCCACATTCTTGGCCACGCCAAACGTGGGCCCGGCCACTTTCGACAGCACACAGGACCCGTGGTTGAACTTGTCGTCCTGGTTGTGATCTGGCGTCTTGCCAAAGCCCGGAAAGAGCCATCGCTTGCTGCCCGGCATGTTGATGTACTCGGGATTCTGGGTGCTGGCCCCCGAGTCCACGACGTAGACGGTGATCCCCTTGCCCGCCGACGGATCATACTGGTATTCGTTAGAGATGCTGGGGACCAGCTGATTTTTCGGCTGCGAGATGACGGCCAACTCGGGCGGTGCATTCTTCTGCTGGATCGGAGAAGCGCGTTTCCAGAACTGGAAGGATTTGCCAGTATCCAGAACCGGCTCGAAAGACCGCGTTGAGAGCGAATCGTCCCCCTCTGGGTCGTCGATGTCATCTACCGAGAGCCAGTCGTCCGGAGCCACCGAGTCGATGATCGAATTGCTGGAGAATTGTTTGACCTGGGTGGAATTCAGAGGCGCTCTCCAGAAGGCAATCCCGACGCTGAAGTCGGTAGCGCTCTGGATGTTCGATTTCCCGACCTGCTCGGTCAGGATCGCGTCGAAGGACTCCCTTTCCGCTTTGCTGGCCGAATCCTTGGGCACAATCAAGTATGGAGTGGCAGATGCAGTTGGAGTTGGCGTCGACGACGAAGTGGATGTTGAGGAAGTAGTGGCAGTGGTCGACTCAGGCTCTTTCGTCGGTTTTGCGGTTTCTTCCGGCTTCTGATTCGGATCTGGAGTCGGTTTGCCATCAGGCCCGATGTCGAGCGTTGGAAATCCCGACGGCGGCGGGATGATTCCTGGAGGGCCGCTGATATGCACGGGAAAGACAACGACAGGATGTCCATGATGATCGAACCACACCGGGACAATTGTTGGGTGGTGGTCCGACCCGGTGACGGTCGTTGCGGAGTAGGAGTCTGGGGGGCCGGTGTGGTCAGACAAGGTCGTTGTGCTGAACGTGCCCGATTCGATTGCGGTCTGAGCAGGCACGGTGATAGAGCCGGAGACAACAAAAGGAGCTGTCAGATAGGCGACGGTGGTCGAAGTGGTCGAAGTGGTAGTAGAAGGTGCTGTTGTAGAAGGTGCCGTTGTAGAGCCTTTCGAGCTTCCGGTATCTGTTGTATGTGCCCCAGATGTGGTTGTTGTAGAACCAGCCGTGCTAGACGAGGTGGATGACGCAGCTGCCCCGCTTGAAGGCCCTGAAGTTGTAGAGGGCGATGTTCCAGGAGACGAAACTTGGGAGGGCGAAGCTCCAGAGGGTGCTTCAGTGGGTGATACTGCAGAGGTTGAAGCCGCAGAGAGCGATGTCCCAGGAGATGAACCTGCAGAGGGAGACACCGCAGAAGGCAGAGCTGTAGACGGGGCACTGGCTGCAGTCGTAGAACCAGCCGGGCTCGAGTACGATGAACCAGTTGCTCTGGCAGAAGTTCCTGAAGCTGCAGAGGGCGAAGCTCCAGAGAGTGATGCAGAGGGTGATACTGCAGAGGCCGATGCTCCAGGAGATGAAATTGCAGAGGGAGAACCTGCAGAGGGAAAAGCTGCGGAGAGTGATGCTCCAGAGGGTGATACTGCAGACGGAGCACTGGCTGCAGTCGTAGAACCAGCTGGGTTCATGTACGATGAACCAGCTGCCCTAGAAGGCCATGAAGTTGCAGAGGTCGATGCTCCAGGAGATGAAACTGCAGAGGGTGTCAGAACCCTGCTGATCGAGCTGCCTGCACTGGGAGACGCCTTCGAAGAGCGGGCATGACTGCTGGGCAGGACAACACTCGAGCTCGGGCTGCGATGGGCCGTGCTGGTAGTGTTTCTGGTAGAATTCGTGAACAGTCGTACGCCTGCAATATCTGGCCTTCTCCCAGGCAAGGCCGACGCAGGATCAAAGAGCGCGAGCCCTGCGACAAGCACGGTCAAGAGGGCTTTGGTCATGGTGGGACAATATGATAGAAAACGGTAACCCTATCCCACCACGAGGAAGTGCAGTACACAAAGCCCTCCAAGGAAGGGCCAGGTTGATGCCTGGCTGAACAGGCGTTTTCTTCTCATATTTATGCCACAGCCTTCCTCTCCTTCAGTTGAAAGGATCAAGGGGCGAAATCATGGAGCCGGAAATCCGGATATGCGTCAGGATAGAGACACAGAGAATAGATCCTGTTGACAGTATAGCTCCAGTGGGATTCTCCGTTCTCGGTGCTGGTCATGATAGTCAAGTCTCGGCAGTAGTGGATAATGGACCCTGCACTCGTTGGGGGCCAGCGGGCGGCATTTTTCGCGAATCCTGCGCAGCGAAAGACTCGAGATCTAGAATCTCCAGACGCGATCTTTTCTGCTTGGCGCCGAGGTACTCGAAGATTTGATCACCAATGTCTGTTCAATCGAGCAGGAATGGTGGGGGGGGGGGGGGGGGGGGAATATCCACACTGCTGCTTTCCTACACAAGCTTGGTGGATTGTCAGCTTGGTTGTCAGTTCGTTCCATCCTGCATAACCCGCTCATTTTTCCGAGATCATTGCTGCAGCATTGTCACCTTCATTTAGCTATAAAAATCGATCTAGGGTAATGTCGCGTGGTACAAAGTACTCATAGCCGACAATATTGCCTGTCATCATTTTCAGTCTAAAATATTTTAAATGTACATCCCACAATCCAGCCGCATCTAGCCAACCGCAGCCATGGCCTTCGTGTATATCTCGCAGTTGGGATTTTGGGGCCAATTTGTATTAACTAACTCCTAGTCAGGCCTTGGGCACAAGCACAGAACATACAAGCCAACCATGTCCGGCATGTAATCCCAACCAGAGCAAACCAACACTTTCTCTGGCATGTTGATTGGCTATAAAAAATTATTAGTAGTAATAAGCTTAACCTGGTTGTCTAGTTTGTGTTATTTTATTGGTTGGTTTGAATGAGTCCTCTGTTTCATGATCTGCAGGGGTTTTTCCACGGAATACTCCGTATTGACAGAGAGGTTTATTTTCCTATCTTCATACGGAGATAACTATTACTCAGATTGATTCTAGGCCTTTGGATAGAAGTAGAAGCTATGCTAACCTAGATGGATGTACTGTACCTAGCCTATGCTGCAAACTCGGCCGAGAGGATGCCATGACATTGCTTTCGGTGAATCCACAAAATGTTGCGACCTACAACAATACAGAACTAATATATGCATCTCATAAAGCTGTTTGGTAATTGTACTGTACACAGGCTGCAACTCTGTCTGGTTTTCAAGGCATGGAGTTGAATAAGGACTATTGACTTCCCGTCTCTGTGATGATGTAGCAGTTATTTCTATGTCCTGCCTGGACTATTAATATTTAATTAATGGTGCATCTCGGAACTATTTAAATTTAATTCCGTGTACTGGGATTGGATATAGAGTGTATTACATCTGCATGCATTAATATTGAATATCTGGCAATCATATCAATTACTGTATTAATCGTCTAGAAATATACTTTCCTATAAGTTTTTGCTATACACTGAAAAAAAAAAGCGATGCACATTACTAGCTAGAGGAGTATTATATAGCCAACCTATTATCACCTAACATTTTGTCAAACAAACTGGGACACAAAAGAAAAACCTAAGTTATCTAGTGAACCCCTACAATGATTGATAGCTGCCGGTTGACACATGTGCTACAGTAAACGTTTAGTTAGTAGAGCTTGGATGAAGGTCAGATGATTGTTCGTTTACTAGGCCCTCATTCTGTTTCCTTATTCGGAAAAAATTAAGTTCAGTATTATTGTAGACAAAGCGGCAATACAGATAAGACAAGACGAGACACGTTAAGCAAACACCTTAATCGATTTATTTAAATCACGATATTCCTTTCTTTCCCAAGTGCAATCCAGCCAGTCTTATCCCTGTCATTCTGACTTTCGTCCATAAACAATGTAGCTGGATGATCCTGTCAGATCTCCCCTCTTGTGTAGTATAAGTATAAGAGGCAACGTACAAGTCAAAAAGCCCGTGGATGTGCTCGTTCCTCGCATCCCTGTTCGTCTGAGCGATCAGGTCATTGACTTGCTCGGCTGACCACCCTTCGTGTTGTGTTAGCACTGCCGTCGCCATCGCCTCGAGACCGCCTGTTTCAAGCTGCACCAAGTTCCGTGTTCCGAGCTTTTGCTATTAAAAAAAAAGGTCAGTCAGTTTATCACCAAAACTACAGTTTCTCTTTCTTCTGCAGACATACATGATATCTATCTTCCGGCCAAGATCCCAGCGGAATGCGGTATTTCGTCACTTGAATGTCGACAAACCCAGCCTGACGAAACCACCGCTCCAGCGAGGGCCCTGGCTTGGCACAGTATCCGGCCTTTTCATATGCGTCGCAGATTGTAGTGTAGTATCTCTCGATGGTTGAACCCGCGGTGGATCCGTCGTCGGAGTAGATGGTGGGATCCCAGTCTTGGAATTCGACCCATCCGCCGGGTTTGGTGCAGCTGTCGTTCCTTTGTCATTAGTACACTTATAAAAATGAAAGTTCAGTTAGATACTGGTGTATGCCCTCACTTGTACGCTTGCTGAATCAGTCTCTCCATGTTTCTGATCGAGAAGAGCAATCCTCGGGCATGGATAAAGTCGAAATGATTGCTTTCATATTGCCATTCCTCCTCGACATCTTCGACGATAAACTTCAGGTTGGGTGGTCGGATAATGGCATATTCGTCTGAGTATCCCTCATCTGGCTGAGACATCTTCAGGCTCAGATCGTTACCGATGACCTAGCACGGAGCATTCATTAATTACTCAACTAAGACCGTGAACAGATTCCAAAGCAACATCAACTGACCTCCACAGAAGGGAATTGATCAACTGCAGGAGTGTTAACGACTCAAATCAATCAAATCAATCCAGTTAGTTAGTAAGAATACTCACAAAAGTCACTCGCCCAGATACCTGTCCCCGTACACAGATCCAGAACCCGCTGCGGGGAGGGTCCAATCGGCGCGAGAAACAGTTTTTCTTCTGTCATTACCAAGAACAGTTCATGGAGCATGTCGAGACGGTCGCATTCGTCGTCGTCGTAGCCTTTTTATCCCCCTTAATAGCCTGCTAGCAACCGGCCAAAGAAAGAGACTCACGGTCATCGCTATGATACTGTCTGCTATTCTCTTGGCGGAAGTTGAGAACAGAGGATGACAGAGAAGCAGTATAGTCGGATCTGGGCAATGTCAGTGGTTTGAATCAGCGTCAATTGAACACAACCTAGTGTGGTCGCTCACCGCTCCTCTTCATCTTCATAGGCAGAGTCGATGTCGGTATCCTATTATCAAAGAGTAGTTAGTTAGTGATCATCTTGCGACAAGGACGATGGTACTGTACGTGCCTGACGGTCCACGGCCACCGTGTTTCTGCCATTGTGAAGATACAAACGGAGATGACTAGCTATGAAAGTGCGTTGTCAGGGTGTATCGACGAGACAGCACGTCGAGCGGATCGAGAAGGTTTATATTATGCTGATTCATCAGCACCGCCAAAGCTCGCGTCTCCGTAGTCTACCATCTGCCCAATAATACAGTCTTGTCCAGGAGAAACTATCGCACAGCATGACTCGACCAGTTCAACAAAAACGTTCAAGCTCAGGAATAGCTACAGGGGTAGTTATCTGAGCAATCAGGCAATAATAACATTGCCGGAACGGCGGCCCGAAGCACTAAGATATCACCCTTGTCAAGCCTTCAACTAGTCCAAATAAAGTACGGAGTACCTTAGGTACTGTACATACTCCGTACATATCTCTACGGAGTAAACAATTCCCCAAAAACGGCTGTTTCTAATTAGTTGACGGGGAGAAGAGGACACGATCAATCAGTAAAATATATGTTTCCCGGATATCAGGGATAAAAGCGGACATACATACTCTATACAAAATGCATTCCATATCAATTGGTTGACTTAAGACCGCTGCTTGATTGACTTGATTCTCAATGGCACATAACCAATGAAAAGCACGAGTGGCCAAGTGGTAAGGCGTCGCACTTGTAATGCGAAGATCGCGGGTTCGAATCCCGTTTCGTGCTTTCCACCTTTTTATGTCACGTGACCTCTGACATATGATTGGTTGTCTGTCTATCTGGTCTATCTTTTTTTGCTCCCAATTTTATATACCCATTTGGGCAGGAGTTCAATATACTATCCATGGTCTTATTATATTTGACTAGATCCTTTTGTAGAACAAATGCGAGTGGCTTATATGTTTCTGCAAGGGTGGTGGATATTATTATCCTGGCTCAGATCAATATATATATAACTGCTTATAATTCATCAATGGGCCTGCTTTATCAAGTCTTTTGTTTTTTATTTTGTTTTGTCTCCTTCGAGAACAGCTCCACAATATCCGTATTCCCACACGCAGCGGCAACATCCTGTAACAATGTCAGCAGTTATATCATCCATCTCGACAGTTCACTCACAATGGCCGTCCTCTGCTGCTTGTCCTCCGCGAGCGGATCGACCCCCAGCTCCATCAGAAACTTGAACGAATCCAGGATATCGCCTCGGTACCACGACGCGGCGATAGGACTGGGCGACGTTCTCTTCGCTACCACGTGCAGCAGTGTCTCCCCGTCGTCGTTCCTGACAAACACATCGGCTCCTGTCTCCAGGAGCGGCGCGAACAGGTCGCGGTGTGCATGACCCCGGTGAAAGCCACTCGCCCTGCGAAAATAGTTGAACAGCATCGTTTCCCCCTTGTTGTTCCTCGCATTGATGTCCAGCCCAAGACCCCGGAACTGATCAATCATCGGGATGACTTTTCCCCCATAATGATCGACAATCTTCTCTGCCAGATAGTGCAAGGCTGTATTTCCCTCGGGATCTGGCTCCAGGGCATCTGCGCCCCGGTCCAGCAGCGGTTGATACGCCCAGCTGTTTTGGTGTTGCACCGCCAGATGGAACGGCGTATATCCCTGCTTATTCTTCTGCTGGACGAGAGCAGGACACTTCTCGGTGAACAACGCCACTGTTTCGGGCGCCTTCATCCCATACGTTCGGACCAGGAGATGAAGCGCATTGTTCCCCTCATCGTCCACGGCCGTGAGATCAGCGCCCATTTCGTACAGGGTCTGGGCCCGCGTGAGGTCTTCCTCGCTGGCCGTTTGCTGCTCTTGCCGGTGATGGCGTTGGATGGGACTGTTAGTTCTCACGCCGCATTGACAGGCGGCCAGTAGCAGCGTCTGTCCTCGGGGATCCCGTCGTTCCACGTCGAGATGGGGCAGCTTCAAGAACGGCTGAATGATGCCGCCGCTTTGCATCAAATGGTGGAGAACAGTGGACTTCTCGCCCAAGGGCAGAAAAGGGTCTGCCCCATGGTCCAACAACAACTGGATAATCGGGATCGCGGTCTCGCGGGTCTCGGCTGTGTTGAAGGCCTGACTGGCCGCATAGTAGACAGGATACAGCTCCGTCACGTCCCGGTCATATTGGCCCAAAAGACGATGCCCATGAGAACTACTAAAAGTCTTATTAGGTTCTATGTCGGTGAGGCGCTGGTTGCAATTGGCGCCAGCTTCCAGGAGGGCGGCCACCGTGGCGATATCCTGCGCGGTGATGGCGGAGAAGAGCGCTGACAGAGTCCCGAAATGGATATCGGCGCCGTGACGGAGGAGCAACTGGACGAGTTCGGCGTCGTATGCCGCTCGATTCAGTGGTGTCAAACCGTCCTCGTCCATGACATTCGGATTGGCACCACACTCCAACAGCTTCCTCGTGATCCTCCTTCTTCGACCAGCTCCCAATTTGTGTCTCTGGACCGCAACGTGCAGCGCGGTCTCCCCTCGGTAGTTTCTCAGCTCGGTGTCCGCCCCGTGCTGCACCAGATACTCAATTGCTTCGGCCTGCCACCAATGGCCCCCTTGAGCGAGGATGTGGAGCACCCCGTCGGTGGGCACGGTCTTCGTCTCGGGTCGGTAAATGGTTTTCGTGCCCTGAATGTTGACGTTCGCCCCAAACGTCTCCACGATTACTTTGATCATCTCGAGGTTCGTCTGACTTCTGCGCGCAGCGGTGAACAGATACGGTGCGATGCTGCTTGCTATGTCAGAAGTGTCTTTGCCATTAATCCAGGACGGCTCTTTCACAGTCCGGCCGAGGCTTTCAAAGAGCGAGGCGTATCCCCACTGTGCTAGAGTGGTCATAATATCTGGGTCGCCCAGGTATTTATTCCTCATCTGAACATTGATTCCACAACGGGCGAGGTTCTCCAGAGCCTCATGGTCGCCACATTTGAGCAATCGATGACACAGGGCGAGGATGTCTCCCTGGCCGTCAAGCATTGTGTCAACCGTGTTGGCCACGAGATCTCCCGTCGTGTCAGGCTGCCTCGTTGCGGACTCCATCTCGGCAATCATCTCATCGCACCCAACCTCCCTCGCAAAATCCAAAGGAGTCTGGCCGGCGCTGGCTGCAGTGAGGTCCGCGCCATGGGCGATCAAGAGGCGGATAATTTCTCTCAGCCGAGCGTTATCAGCTTCCGATGATACCACATGCGGTGAGCAACGAGGATGAGCCTGACGGAGTCGTTGATTGTTGTCCTGTTCAGATCGCGGTAGCTCAGTGGTCGGAACTCTGACTACATCGCCTGTTTCATCGACCACCCAAAGTTTCTTCTCCTCAGAGAATTCAGCACAGACGTGAAGCGGTGTCAATCCCCTCTGATCCTCTATCTTCGGATCTGCGCCCGCGGTCAGTAAGAGGGCCACGCTCTCGGGTTTGCCGGAGCGACAGGCATCATGCAGCGGGGTCCGACCTCTGATATCCGCCTGATTGATGACCCCCGCAAGCTGGCCGGTCTGCGTGTAATGGTCGAGTAGAAGCCCGATGATGTTGATCTGTCTTGCAGTGGTAGCAATGTGCAGCAGGTTTCTCCCTTCCGATGTACACGCGGTCGTATCGGCACCCTTCCGGATTAGCTGCAATACCAGATCTTCGGAGACGGCAGCTGCCAGGTGGATCGGTCGCACACCGTCCTGATCTTCCATGTCGATGGCGGCAACTAGATCCGAGTTGAAGATCATGTCGATGGCATCCTTGCGCGTGGGGGTAGTGCTGGTTCTCCACTTTGGTTCCCGGCTGCAGATGAGATGGAGCGCCGTCTGGCCGCGAGAGTTCCGCGCTGTACTTGGAATGCCGATTGTCACGAGGAAATCAATTAAATGCGCGCCGTGGTTCTTGAGGTCTCTCGCGATTGTGTGGAGCAGCGTGTCTCCAGAGTGGTTGACAGCGGTGGGATCGGCACCAGCTTCAATGAGGAAGTGGAACAGACCGGCCTCTTCACTATGTTGGTAAGCAATTTGCAGGACGCCATTCCCTTCGTTGTCCTGAGCATCCAGCCTAGCTCCAATTTTGAGGATTGATGGTATTGTGTCCTGCCAATGACGACTTCGGTTGCGGACGGCGCGCAACAGAAACGTGTGGCCTCGCTTGTCTTTCGCCTCGACGTCGGCGCCAGCAGCAAGTAGCAAGCCCAAGACGCCCGTCTCTGTAAAACTGGTGGCGTTCAGATCTTTCAGCAGGTGTAATGGGACTTCTCCGTCTCGATTCCGACAGGTTGGATCAGCACCCATAGCCAACAATTTCGACACAACTTTTTCTTTGTCGAAGCTCTCGCTGACAGCAATGTGGAGGGGCGTATTTCCCTGTGCATCCTGAATGTTCCAGTCTGGGGCACAGGGCGCCCAACATGACGGGTCCATTCCATATCGATGCTGGAAGCAAGTGTGGAGAGGCGTTCGACCATCGTGCGGCCGGCGAGCATGGATATCTGCCCCATGCCGGATCATCACGTCCAGAGTCCTTGCCGACTTAGGAGACGGTTTGAAGAGATGCAGCGGTGTGTTCCCCTCCGGATCTGTCGCCATTGGATTGGCTCCCTGTTGCAAGAGCAGCTCCGTGACGGGGAGGTTGAATTCGACGCTGTAATGGAGCGGCGTCCGGCCGTTGTCGTCGACCGCATCCACCTGGGCGCCCGCATGAAGGAGAAGAGAGACACAGCTCTTCACCTTCTCGTCGTCCTTGTCTTTAGACTGTTTGCAGATTGCGTGAAGAGGCGTAGAACCGACATATTCCCGTCTCCTTTGCATATTTCGGCCGTATCGGCGACGTAAGCGATTTTGCGACCTGGAATTGGGATTCGCACCGCTCTTCAGCAGCAATTTCATGATCTCCTCGTAGAGACCGTAGGCTGCTGCAAACAGAGGCTTGTCACTGTCGGGACTCAGTGCATCGACTTCAATACCGGGTACGGTCAGCAGGAGATCAACCGTGGAGACATGGCCTGAGCGAGAAGCCCAGTACAGCGCCCGATTGAGGTCCTTCGCCTCCAAGTGTGGCATCATCTCTCGAAGCGATTCCGTCGAGCCGGATTGACAGGCATACTCCAAGGGTGTCTTTCCGACGGAGCTGGGCGCATTGCCACACCGACGCGGAGGATAGTCACGGGTCCTTGGTGTCAAGGGACTCACTCCAGCGTCCAGGAGCAGTTTCACGATGGCATGATGATTGGCCAAAGCGGCATAGTGGAGAGGTTTGTGGCCCGTAATATCAGGCAGGTCAGGTTGGGCCCGGTTCTTTAGTAAGAGCGCGGCAATGTCCGTAAATCCCTTCTCAGCGGCTATCCCCATTGCCGTATGCTGATGGCCATCGGTTTCATCTACATCCCAGCCAGATTGCAGCAGTTGTCCAACATAGTTGGCCATCCCCGTCCAGGCCGCCACGTGCAGCGGCGAGATCGTCTGGATGGGATAACCCGGTTTCATTACGATATCAATCCAGGCTAGAAAGGTCGGGTTGTCTCTTACCATGAATGCGTTAAGGTGGACTGACAATTCACCCTCAATGGCCGGGAGCCGGCTGACATGCACATACCAGTTATTGGCGGCGTATTCGAAAAAGGCATGCCGAAGCTGAATTTCTCCCGCTTTGGTTCGAGACAAATCGTGCAGGCCCCGGTTGCTGGGGTCGGGAATGGGTACGTAGCCTGAGAGACAGCCGGACATCAAGTACTTCAAGCACGTCAGCGCCAGAAGCTGGTGAGTAGCCGTGGGCACGATGACGGGGAACTGGGGGATGTCACTGGTGGTTACAGGCCTGCCTTCTCGGGTAGGATCAATGAGAAACTCGGTGAATGAATGGTGAATGACAGAGACACTTTCATCCTCGAGGATTTCGAGCAGTGGGCCACATGATGCCCGGACAAGATCTTTGGGGTTCATCCCGTCTTGGGACAGCCCCAGCATGTCAGCCAATCCTGCGATTTCCAGCAGGCGTAGAGGACGTGATGCGTGCGTGACGAGTTGCAGAATCCTCAATTGGCGTTCTTGAGGCACATTCGACCGCTGCGAATGATCGTAGAGCATGCGGTTATACATTTCCTCCAGACTCACTGGAAGCGAAGAAAGGGACTGTCGCATGGATTCGATATCAAGGATGTCCTGCTTCTTTAGAAGCTCGTCTAGCATCAATCGTGCATAGAGAAACGAGGGATGCACGCGGGCCTCGGTCGACTTTTGGATACATGCTCGCACCTCGTCCGTTATATCAGGAGTCTGGAGCAACCGGTGACTAATGTAGATGGCAATGTCTTTGTTCAACTGCTGATTCTCCAGTCTGATTTGAATGACAGATGGATGATTGAGAATGGCCTGAATGTGTGGTAATGGTCTGCTTGTCATTAACAATTTAATTGCTGCAGGCCGCAGCCTCCCCAGGCTGACTAGGTTGTGTAAAATCCGAGTCTGATGACTATCCATCTCATCGAGGGCGTCGACAATACAGTAGACCCGGGGGATGGATTGCAGAGCGTCGAGAAGAAGCTTCCACAATTCTTCAAAGGAGACACCGTCCAAGGTGCGCTCTTCATCCATCAAGCGGGCCAGCTGTCTCTGGAGCAGGGGCGAGACGTCCAGGATTTGGGCAGCCCAATCTCGCACCAGGGCCAATGGATCATGGTTGGCCGCAACGATCTGTCGAAAGAAAAAGAACAAGACGGGGACTCGTTCGGTGTCGGCGAGCTGGGACACCAAGGCTGCAGTGAGCACACTCTTGCCGGCTCCAGCGACAGCCTTTATCCACAGTGATCCGTTATCTGAAGACTGGTGCCATAGTTGATACTCAGCTGTCTGCTTAATCCAGCCACCAGTGGTGGGAACATGGGACTTCAGATGCTTTTTGTATTCGCTTGCCTCGCCCAGATAGTCGGTGGGCTGAAGCCAATCCTTAATCGCCTGGATTTTGACATCATCATCAACTTCAACGTCAACGTCTTGCTCATCAGGGTGGTCCATGACACTGCTAGCCATGGACGTCTGTACACGTATGTTCTTCTGTGGGGCGAAAGTATATGGCCAGTCTTGTTCTCATCCCAGGTCGGATAATTTAAGAAAGGAATAAACGAGAGGAAGAAGAAAGAAAGAGAAAACAGAAAGAAGGAAGGAAGAGAAAAGAAGTCGCTTTATACTATTGCGCGGTGTCAGGCTAGTTGCCAGCTAGGGTTCGCCGGCCAATCGACGTGCCAGGCTGCCCAGCCAGTGAGGCTGCGCCGGCCCCGTGATCCAACAGTTGTAATGTCCACGACTGATAAGGACTCTATACGATCCAAGAGATTTCATTCTGAGCATCATAACGAGATAAAATATTAATAGGTTATATATATGACTTGGAACAAGACCTCCTTCCAACCTTTCCCAAACAGGAATCCCATACCCGATATCATCCATAGCCTTCCACCCTTAAGGCGAAACCCAAAGCCAAGCACTCTGTATGTCGTTGATTAAGAGAAAGTAAACGAACCAGCGGGAACGTCCCTCCTCATCAGACGAAGATAATCCGTTGTTTCGAGTATCTACTTCGTTGTACTCAGCTGATGCGTTCTCGTTGGACCTGAAAACTTCAACCCCAAATCCGTAGACACTCCTTTTTTATTCCTGCGAGTAGACCTCTTCGTCGTCCAAATCCAGAGGTCACCTTCTCCTTGATTCCAAGGGTAGTACCCTGGATACCAGTAGAGGTTTGTCTAGGTGTCTCCTGGTAGCCTGAAGAAGGAAGTCGTTAGTTAGTACGCGAATGAGCAGCTCACCTTGGCGAAAGAGACGATATAAAAAAAAATGACTGGTCTAGAAAGTGTAGAAAGGAAAACTCACCATACGCATGCATTCGCCACACCCACCATGAGCAGGCCAGCAATATAGACGTCCCAGGACAAGTGCCCAAACTCGTCTGGATCCTGTATGGCAGAGCCGTCGTATGGCGATCGAGCTGACTTCGCTTTTTTTTTTCCAGGGACAGAGAATTGCGCTGGAACAAGTTGGATGGCCGTATGATCGATCGATTTGATTCCTGCTAATAGGTAGGAAACGTCTGATTGACAGTTGTTTCCAGAGGGCCATAATGATATCGCCACCCGATGGTGGGAGAGTAGAAAGAACCCATTTATCTGTTCGAGAAGAGTTAGTCTGATCAGTTTGAACTCATATAGCTCCACGGAGATTATGACTCACAAATATTTATTTATTTATTTATTATTTAGCAAATATGGTCAGATAGAGAAGGTTGAAAATAATGGTCGAATGCTCGACCACGGGTATCTGCCAGAGCTTTTAGATAGCTGCCTTTGCTGCGTCGCCGATCCTTATGCTTGTTTTGCTGGATTCCAGTTCTCAAGCCTGGTACCTGAGATAGGTGAAGAAGCTTTCTTTTGTTTTGTCCCTGGTGGAAGGCATCTCCTGTCAGAAGCTAGGAAATGAGGTAGTAAGAGAGTTTGTGTAAGAAATTTTTTTACCTATCTATCGAGGAGAGGGGAAGTAGGGGTATTTATGCTCCTACTAGCGAGACTAGAAAGGGGTAGTGAATGAGCTGATTAACAATATTACTATATTCTAGACGGAATTCACTCTGACAAGGGGAATTGGTGGATGCCTCAGGGTGAATCTGTCCAGAATATCACTCCCCTTTCCTAATCGGGTATAAGATAGCAGGTCTTGGCGGTGATTCAGTGAATGTCACAGCTACCTAAACCAATGGACTTCGCCAAGATCTTTCTCAGGAATTAGTTCAAGAACAAAGCAGATTAAACAGAGAGAAGATGAAGGTAATGGGGTACAAGAGTGAAATTGCTCTGTTTCAGCAAAGTAGCTGCTATCAACCTGGGAGATCTCCAACGATCGGATCTGCTTCACTCCATATTCCATAGTTTTACCTACTAGCCATAACAATAAACTTCAGCGACGTCTAGCCTTCTAGCAGCTTTCCAGTTCCGAATTTTTAGTTGTCTGTCTTCGTTGTCGAATTTGCTCTTCAAGTAGGGGAATGAAGTAGGATTGTAGTAAATACGGATATGTGAATAAAAATGAGCCGTCTTGGGATGTGCTTGAGGAAGTAAATTGACGCTTAGCCATGCAAGATTCTACCAGGCTTAGAGAAACACGGTAAAGAGGACGATACGACAGGTGATGCACTCGAGACATTCATTCATTGTTTCATTCTATGTCCAATCGTTATAGTAATATCAAGATAGCACACTAGCATTTCCAGCCTAGATGTACGCTACTATAACTCCCAGTCTACACCTCCGACCGCGCTCGAATAGGCAACTGGTGCGGCGGAGCATCAATGTGGGTCGACCGCTGCGTCCAGAAGACATCCGCGGCCGTCTTGTTCAGATCGTACTGCTCCGGGTAGAGGAAGTTCATCGGGAAGCCGGCGTCGAAGGGGACGGCGTTGTCGATCTCCTTCATGTCCTCCTCGGTCATTTGGATGCTCAGGGCTTCGACGTTGGCCTTGAGATGCTCGACCTTGCGCTGGCCGACGATGGGGAAGACGTAGGGTGTTTTGTGGAGGATGTACGCGAGAGCCTGCGATAGTCAGATCTGCTTCCGTCTTTTGATTTTTTCTTTGTTTTGGTTACTTACCACTCCGTGCAGGGTGGTGCCCTTCCTCTTCGCTACCCTCTCCAACGCATCAGACACCTTGATATCCTCCTCCGTCAGATTCTGACCACGAGCAGAGCCAACTTCGCCACTCTTCCGCGCCTCTGCAGACTTGAACCGTCCCTGACCCAAGGGCGCCCACGGGGCGATGGCCATGCCCTGATCCCGGCACATGGGAACCACCTCGCGTTCCATGTCGCGGAATCGAGGGTTCCACTTGCCCTGGTAGACCGAGAATGGACGCAGGCCGTGGGCGCGCGCGTAGTCGTTGGCCTTGACGACCACCCACGCTGGCGTGTCCGACACACCCAGGTAGAGCACCTTGCCGGCGGTGACCAGCGAGTTCAGGCCGTGCATGACCTCCTCGACGGAGGTGGTGAAGTCCCACCAGTGCACGTACAGCAGGTCGATGTAGTCGGTGCGCAGCTTCTTCAGGCTGCGGTTGACGGAGACGTGCATGCTCTTGACCGAGTTGCCGACAAAGTTGGACTGGATGGGCTCCTCGTCGCGGTGGGCGGAGCGAAAGCCGGTCGTATACTTAGTTGCGATGCTGCCACAGTCCCAGTCAATTTGTGCATGTCATCTGTGGTTTGGAGTCTGAACCTACACCATCTGATCTCGGTTGCCACGCTTCTCCATCCACTCGCCCAGCCATTCTTCCGATTGCTCGGCCTGGTAGTTGTTTGCCCTAGCTAAAGATCAGAAGAATGCAGCAGGGAATTAAAAAAAAAAGTAGTGCTTCACTCACGTATCTATGAAATTTCCACCCATCTCGTAGAAAGCGTCGAGGATGGCAAACGCCTGCTCTTTGGAGCATTCACCCATAAAGTCATTCCTGCGAGACCGTCAGGGTCAATCATGCACTTAGAAAAAAGTGGTAGCATACCATGCCTCCCCAAAGTTCATCGCACCTAGACATAGCGGCGACACCTTGACGCCGGCGGTGGGGGAGAGAATGCGGTGGTAGCCCAGAAGGCTGGGAGGCTTAGGGGCCTGCGGAAACGCCGACATGGTAGTAAATCTGTGGTCGAGCGACTATCGATGTCGAAGGACTGTGATTTTCTGGCGGACAGGAGAAGTGTGCAGGAGGAGACGGTTCAATAAATAATACTTGGTCGACAGCGTTATGTCATTCTAAACCCACACCCCTCATCGGACTTAAGCACAGGCAGGACTGCAAAAGAAGCGGAGATAACGCCAGACGATGGGGCAGATCCAGTCTTTGCGAGGTGGAGAAAGACCGTGTCCCCGTATAAGCCGAGAACGTGGCGCCGAACAAACGATGAAGAACGTGAACGTGTTTCACGACAGTCGTCGAATCGGAAAAGGCCTGCCTGGCAGGTCTGCTGACAATTAAGCATGTGTACATATGTGTGTACGTAAATGAGGTACAGTACAAGAGGAGCATGATGGGAGTCAAATCGGAGGATCGTGATGGGGAGTGGAGCAGACAGCGCCTCATACCTCATATGCATATACTCGTCAACTCGGAGTTATTTTATTTCAGCGCAGCCCTCCTTATCGCCGTCATTTCTGTAATCTCCAAGACAGGTCCTCAATAAGATGATTAAATCTGTTGACAGGATTCGAGAGTCGACAGTGGGCTGCCCCGCAGATCCGCAGCGAAGCTTCGGCTATGCAGGCGGATGACTATCTGCAGAATCGATGACAAATAGTAGTCTTGTTGAATAATATTGCTGAGTTATTTCTAATGCATGTTATTCAAGAAAATTCCGTATGAGAATTTTTTTTTAAAAAAAAATAACGATAGAAGGGACAGCATTTTTAGGGGATATACTATTATCCTCTGCCCAGACTTTCAATCCATTAGAGTTTACATTGATCTGTAGCCCCCTCTTCAGTTATTTCTATATTCAGAAAAGAATTACAATCCAAAAAAAAAGAAAGAAAAGAAAAAAAAAGAAATGAAAGAAAAGAAAAGAAGGAAAAAGAAAAGAAGGAAAAAGAAAAGAAAAAAAAAAGACAGCAATGCAATGTCTATCCAGCTCAGACACTTGTCTAATTAAGCCTCTTCACGCAAACCAAAAAGCCCATTTTGTGCCTTTTTGCTTGTTCTGTCTCATATCCCGTTCGCAACTTGATTTCTTTTTCCAGCCAGTCAAAGAGGAAATCAGGCCAGCAAAACCTGCCAGACAAGCTGCAGTGTATCATTTCAGATCAGACTCGAGGGAATTGATGACTGGCGAAGCGTCTCTTCTGGTCGTTATTATACGTCCAACTAATCTGTATTGGTCCTCCTGAGCAGCATAAATTGCACTAGAAAGTAATAAGGTGATGGTTGGAGGAGCATTGTTGCTAAGAGATAACCATGGCGGAGTGATCATGTATATATGTATTTATATTCCTTTTTTTTTTTTCAGTATGTTTCTGCGTGAGGTTTGTATCCCACTCCCACTCCATATTGTCTACTGGCCCAAGGTCACCGACTGGCCAGTTGACAAGTTCTGACAACGATTAGCAAGCTTCCATCAGCAGTCTCCAGACCATCGAATCATCTTCTTCATGCGACTCCACGATGGATGAGATCACTCCACTGCGTCTTCAGTTGGTTAAATCAGGGCGTCGACCATATGCTCTCACTCTTGCCATGCCCTTGCAGCCATTAATCATTAAAGTAGCGTGGAGAATCTCTGGCGCATGACAGGAATGTTGACTAGAGAGTGTCACAAGGGAAAATACTGACAGTAATGAAGTCAATTACTCTTTTTTTTCCGCCTCGAGCACCCTGCCTACAAAGGACTGTAATGGCAAGTCACCAGTTCACAAGGACAATACGCAGATCCAGACTCTTGTACAGTACAATTTATGCGAGATCTCCTAATATTGTCACCGCAGGGCAGACAATGAGATGACTGGATTTTAACTACAATACCTGAACCCCTAGTATAACATGACTGAACAGGATGATGAGGATACGGTCTGATTTTATACTCAAAAAAAAGTTCTGGGGACGGTCGCTTTCCATCTTCCTTTGTCTGGGATGATGAGATTCTATTGAAGTTAGGGCTAGTACAAAATAAGGAGAGCTTAATTGTCTTATTTTCGTTTTAATTATTTTTCCTTATTTTGTTAAAGGAATTTTTATCGTTATGAAATCCATGAAAAATAATGATGATAATCATAAAATGCTGAAGTCCTATGAGGTAGACAATCTATATAGTTCATAATCAATTAAACACTGCTCTTGTCTGTCTCTTGTTAATAAAATCTGTTTACGGCCTTTTTTGTCATTTAATTCATTTAATCTGCATATTTCTCATACAGCAGTCTTTAGTTTACTTTTTTTTCACCGATTTCTAGTATATTGAAGATTGAACTGAATATAGTCTCTCTGCTATTTATCAGTTTCCAATGCCAAATGCGTACGTTAAATAATTATACGGAGTAATACTGGATTAAGCATATTGCTGATCTTCTCTCTAGCACATGTGCTAGTTGACACTAACTTATTGGCCCCATCCATGCAATAGCATGTGAATTAAGCTGTTAGCCTCTCCAAGTTGCCCAACATGTTAGCGTCTGGCGTCTGCTGGATTAGGGATACCAACACGAAGCAATTCAACCAACACCGATATCCATCTTGGAAAATTAAGTTTCTATCTATGAGCTGAACACGACAGCTGGAGGCCTAATAAACCATACAGAAGAGAGCAGCATCGTCAGTCGCCCTGATGTTCTTCGTCCTTGCGCTATATATACACTGCTGTGCCGCAACCCACTGTGGCGTGTCTGCAGCCGCGTCGCCAGGGTGTTGGGCAGAGCACTATTAATTTAAGCATTATTAATACGACGAGCTCTCCCTGCCTCGTCTCGCTGTCCTGACAGTATTTGGACATGTGTCGACACCATGCCACGACTGATCCCCGCCCTCATCGAGCACTATGCCGCCCAGCAGCCCGACAAGGTCTACGCGTCCATCCCCGTGGACAACGACGATCTCAGCCTCGGCTTTCGCGACATCACGTACGGCCAGCTGCGGCGCGCCGTCGACAAGGCGGCCTTTTGGCTGGCCGGCGAGATCGGCGATGCGACCGAGAAGGGCGACTTTGAGACGTTCGCGTACTACGGATCGAGGGACCTGAGATACGTGATTCTGCTACTGGCGGCGATCAAGATCGGACGGAAGGTCAGTGACATCTAGATGAAGTGCATGTATGCAGGCATCTGATCTTGTCAGGCCCTCTTTTCGTCGCTCCTCTGCAGCCTCGACGCCCATGTCTACCTCGCCCAGTCGACCGACTGCCACATCTTCCTGTGCACCCCGTCCCTGCTCCCCCTGGTCGAGCAGATCCAGCACCACCAGTCGCCGTCGCGACATGTCCTCGTGCCGGAGCTGCAGGAGTGGCTGCCCGCCGTCGAAGTCGACAAAGAACAGCCCGTGTATCCGTACGCCAAAACCTGGGACGAGGCCAAGGACGACCCCTGCCTGATCGTGCATACCAGCGGGTCGACCGGCGTGCCCAAGATCGTCACCTACACCAACGACATGCTCGCCAATGTCGACCGTCTTCGCCACTTACTTCCGGTCGAGGGGTGTCGCTGCCTCGTGTGGGAAATGCCTGGTCGGCGGCTGTACTCGACGATTCCCATCTTCCATGTGAGTGCTTCTTCTGCAGTAAGTCTCGAATCAGCCTATTGATACCAGCATCTAGATCCTCGGCATCGGTAGCTCTCTGCTCTTCCCCGTCTTCTACGACGCTGTCGGCGTCCTGGGACCGCCCGACAAGCCCGTCACGCCCGAGCTGGCCGACCAGATGCACCAGTTCGCGCGACTAGATGGTGGCATCTACCCGCCTTCGCTGCTGCAGGACCTTGTGCGCGACGAGGACAAACGCGAGCATCTGCGGTCGCTGAAGGTCATCCTGTACGGCGGAGCGCCTCTCGAGCGCAGCTGCGGCGAATGGCTCGTCAACAACATGGGGAGCAGGCTGCGAAGCCTTATTGGCAGCACCGAGGGGACCATGTGGCCGACGCTGGTGCCTGTCGATCCGGTCACCGACTGGCAATACACGCACTTCCACCCGGCCAGTGGCGCGACTTTCGTGCCTGTCAATGCCAGCATTAGCAGTATGCCCGGCAAGCAGAAGGAGGAAGAGGAAGAGCAGGAGCTCTACGAGCTCATCTTCGAGCGCAGCCCTGACATAGAGGACTACACGAACTTCTTCCGATACGCGCCGCATCTCGACCGCTGGGCAACTAAGGACCTGTGGACACCGCATCCCGATCCGGCGAAGCGAGCCTCGCACTGGCGCTACCGGGGCCGGACGGACGACCTCGTCCTGCTCAGCGGCGAGGTCAAAATGTACGCCGCGCAGCTGGAGGCGCGGATCGAGACGCATCCACTGGTGCGCGCGGCCTTCGTCGGCGGGAATCAGCGGAAGTGGCCTTTTCTGCTGGTGGAAATCATGCCAGACATCGAGGACGAGCAGCAGCGGTACAAGATCCTGGACGAGCAGATCTGGCCCTGGATCGAGCAGCAACTCCTCAGCAGCAGTAGCAGCAGCAGCAAGAATGTCAATAGCTCACTGCAGCACGAGGCTGTCCGTCTGCGACGGCCGCTCGTCCTCGTCGCCGATCCGAAGAGACCGATTGTGCGCGCATCCAAGGGCTCTATACAGCGGAACGCGACGTGTAAGCTGTATGAGAGGGAGATTGAGGAGCTGTATAGGGGGGTGGATGGCTGACAGTAGAGGAGAGAAATATCAGGGGCATATATGGATATATATATATATAAGCTGGGGTTATATCTATTAATCATACTAGACTACCAAAGCAGCACAGGCAAGGAAAGCACCTAATACAAATATTTCAGTTGTAACAGAAGTAGTCTTCGCTGCGCTTGCTGTCAGCTACTGCCGTGCTGTTGCACAAGTCCTGCTGGGCCGTGGAATTTTAGAAACAGGCATGGGTGCTGAACTCTTGATTATCGAGAATTCACACCTGCATATATACAGTTCCGAATAGACATCTGAAAAGATCAGTTCCACTATCATGATAACCTCGATTGAGGAGAGAGAGATTATTTTCAGAAGGTAGCCGGTAATGGTATTTTCAGGATTCGGCTAAGAATGCATGTACAGTACATCAGCTTAGTTACAACAGCAGCGGTAGCTGTAACCAACACTTGCAGCGCACCCTGGTTAACCTGGCCTACAGATACTCCGTATAGTGGTGCTGCTTAGGCCTTGTATCCCTAACCAGGGTGCATTAGCTCACCCGCAGAAGCCTAATAAATAAATAAATAATAAATAATTCGACAGTCCACATTACAACATTCGCAATTGAAGGGCTCCAATTTACCGAATAGCTCAAAGTAAATTGATCACGAATTTTTAACGCAACATGCGGCTTCTTGTCATATTAACCGTCTTCACTTTAACATTCGCCGACTATAATAATACCCATGATCTCTTCGCCCTTCATCTCGATCCCTCAGCGTCACCAGAGCACATCGCACAGGCTCTCGGAGCCGGAGTCCAGCATGAAGGCCCGATCGGCGAACTTGCAGGCCATCACAAGTTCTCTGTCCCGAGGGAGCGGAGATTTGAGGTGGAGAGTCTGCTTGCCGACATCTATAAGAAGAATGCTCTGCAGCAGAGGGGGGAAGACGTGCTCGATGGGAAAATCCTCTGGGCGCAGAAGCTGGCCTTGAAGAAGCAGAAGCGGTTGCAGAAACGGATTCCACCGCCGCCTGATACTATGAACTATCGAGAGGCTTCGCAGCAGAAGGATGATGACCCTCTTGCTGTGCAAACGCAGAAGAGCATCGCTGAGACTCTGGGCATCACAGACCCCCTTTTCCACAAACAGTGGCACTTGTTTAACACCGTCTATCCGGGCCAGGATACCAATGTCACCGGCCTATGGCTCGAAGGGATCACGGGGGAAGGCACAGTCACGGCCATCATCGACGATGGCTTGGACACGGACAGTGCAGATCTCCGCGACAATTACTATGCGCGAGGTTCCTACAATTTCAACGACAAGAACGACGATCCGCGGCCCAGAAGCGCGCGCGAATCCCACGGGACGCGATGCGCTGGCGAAGTCGCTGCAGGGAAGAACAGCGTCTGCGGCGTGGGCATGGCATACGACGGCAAAGTGGCAGGACTGCGCATCCTGGCTGGACTCATCGATGAAAGCGATGAAGCAGCTGCCCTCAACTATGCATACCAGGATAATCAGATCTACTCGTGCTCCTGGGGCCCCGTGGACGACGGCAAGACGATGGAAGCTCCCGGGCCGCTATTCAAGCGAGCCCTGATCAACGGCGTGCAGAACGGCCGGCAGGGGAAAGGCTCGATCTTCGTCTTCTCGGCCGGCAATGGCGGATTTAACGACGATAACTGCAATTTCGATGGCTATGCCAGCAGCATATACAGCATCACGGTGGGCGCCATCACCAGAGCAGGGAAGCATCCCAGCTATTCGGAATCTTGCTCTGCGCTGTTGGTTGTGACATATGCGAGTGATGTTGTTGGATATATCAACGGCGGCGGTGATGCGATTTACACCACGGACATTGGCGTTGATGCATGTACAGACGTCCACGGCGGAACCTCAGCCGCTGGGCCACTGGCTGCCGGAGCCATTGCTCTTGCGCTGAGTGTCCGGCCAGAGCTCACATGGCGAGATGTGCAGTATCTTCTGGTGGAGACTGCTGTCCAGGAAGGGGACGACTGGCAGGCGACGACGATCGGGCGCAAGTTCAGCCACGACTGGGGATACGGCAAAATCGACGCCTATGCCTTGGTGCAACGGGCAAAGGAGTGGCCGCTGGTGAAGCCACAGGCATGGTATCACTCGTCGTGGCTGAAGGTGCGTCGCGGCATTCCGCAGGGCGCGCAGCAGGGCCTGGCAAGCACATTCGAAGTGACTCGAGAGGCTATCCAGAAGGCCAATATTGCCCGGTTGGAGCACGTCACCGTGACGATGAACATTAACCATACGCGACGCGGTGATATCAGCGTCGATCTGCGCAGTCCGGAGGGCATCATAAGTCACTTGAGCACGCCTCGCAGGCTCGACGACGAGGAAGCCGGCTACGTGGACTGGACGTTCATGTCTGTTGCACATTGGTAGGCCGTGGCTGTAAGTTGTGGATAGATTTATCTGCTAACAGATATGCAGGGGCGAATCTGGTATAGGCACCTGGACGATCACCGTTAGAGACTCTGTCGTCAACGACTTCTCAGGTATATTTGTCGACTGGCGGCTCAATCTTTGGGGCGAGGCGCTGGATGCTGCGTCCCAGACCCTTCATCCGTTTGCAGATGAGGACGAAGACGCCGTTGCAGCCACGATTGTGGATTCAGAGGTTGGCCTACCTGTCAGTACAGGCCAGAAACCGCCAACTACTGCTATCGACAGCCCGGATAGAGGTCTGCAAGTCTGGATCTACGCTACTCTATCTCTGATCATCGCGTTCTGTATTGCGTTTGGCATCTACTTCTACATCCAGCGGAGGAAACACTTTCGCCATGACTACGAATTTCAAATAATTAAAGACGAAGATGACGATGAGGATGAAAAGAGCCAAGGCGATGAACTCAATGCCTTTGCCGAATAACGAGAACGAAGGAGAACGAGAAAGCGGGGAAGAGCTTGCGGAAGCTGGATTTGTAGAGCAGACTGTTTTTTGGTTAGATTTTGTTTACTAATATTAATTTTCTTTGGAAAATAAATGTGCCGCGCCAGAGCAGTCTCAATCAAGGACATCCCATAGTCCTGAGTATATCCCTCTGAGCAGTACTGAAGCCCTAAAAAGCCGCTATAGAAATGCCTCTATCTGCCCATTACAGCAGATCCTGTAAAATAGAATAGATTACTCAACTTTTTCATTAAGACGAGAAGATAATCAGAACTAGATTGATCCGGCGACAATTACCGAGCTGGAAACATATTGCCATGAATACTACACTAAAGAAACTAAATTGCATCACTTTGGCAGTCTGTTGATAAAAATCCCTGCAGTCTTCGGAACACCGGAAACGGTCAATGCGTTCACCGATATTCATCAGCACCACGAGACGCTAAGATGTATGTCGGCAGATGCTTATTAAGGTTGCACTAGCATGGCGCGTGTCTGTGTACTGTATGTACATACTGTACGAGGTACGGTCTAGTATTATGCTTAGTGTAGTACAACTCGTCAGCCCTGCATACTGCAGTGGCGCTCTGTTGGCGTAATAATCCTTGTCTATCTGATCTAGTGCAGAGTGATACTCCATACACATGGGAAGTCGTGGTATTGTAACAATTGAGAGAGCCCGGCGTATTAATGACGACGACAATGAGACTGGATTTCCTCTTCTTAGAACTTGAAAACCAATTCATAGCTTTCCCAACTGATGATCTTTCCCGCACAGCTTGAAAATGACTTCCGAGCACGAATACCATGATCTTCACTCCGGCAGTAGCCATAACGGCTCTTCCACCGAAGTCGAAGAGTCCCTGCTCAGCGAGAAAGAAGACGACTGGCAACCGAAACGGGGAGGACAACGACGACGAACATGGAAAGGGAGAGTGTTGGAAAAGATAAAATCAAACTGGTGGATCGTAGACACCTCTCTCCTCCTGATCATCATCGCTTTGCTCGTCGAGCCGCGATGGCAGAAATGGAAGAAGATCGAGTATGAGTTTGCAGGCGATGTGACTGGGTTTGCTCCGCAATGTGTAGTTTTTTTTTTTCTGTTTCCATTGTCTGGCGTGCAGTGTCGGGAATATCCGACTGACTGACATGCCTAGTCTCGCAACAGATAACGACCTTCAAGCCCGACTTGGGGTTCGCTCCGGAGAATACCTCTGAATTCTGGAGTGATGCCGTGCAGGACAAATGGCTGAGCATTGTGCCACGTATGGTCCTTCCAATTATTTTACGTTCTTTATGAGTGCCTTGCTAATGAATGCATTAGGAGGCCTGGGCTATGTCCGCGTGGACAACCCCTCCGAATACAACAATCTCCCGACTCCGATCCACGATTACGCCAACATGACTGTCTTTACCACGGCCATGCCGCACCAGTTGCACTGCCTTGTAAGCCCAAGCCTGTCTTTTCCCCTCTCAGCTAGTCACTCTGCTGATGTCCGCAGTACAACATCCTCGCCGTCTACGCTGCCATCACATCCGATAACCCTCGTGGCCTCCCCACGGAGATGACGTTCCATCTGCAGCACTGCTTCGAGTACCTCCGCTTGAGCATCATGTGCTGCGGGGACGTCGCCCTGGAAGGCGCCGAGACGACGTTTCCGGATGGATTCGATGGCAGCGATGGGTGGGATGCGATGCACGTGTGTAAGAACTACGACCAGATCTATGACTACTTGGACGAGAACAGGGCGAATGACAGGTTGTGGATATGATGGCTGGCATGTAGATAGGCTGAGCATGATAATGAAGGATCTGAGCTTTTCTCCTAGAATAACTTATCTTTCAACCTGCTTGGACGTCTCGAGAGTGACGGACTTAGGGTTAGGGTTAATCGCCTACCTCACCTCTGTACGATGTAATCGCTCAGAGCAACAGAGCAAAAACAAGGCCATCTACCGAGAGAGCAAGATTCAATATACCAATTGTCAATTGTCAATTTGATGCAACTATCACTATCTCCTCATTTGGAATCCCACCGACTAGTTACTATTCCAAGCAACATCTGCATCATCCCTCGCCCAGTCTGAATCACGGGAGAATTAACTGTTAATTGTAGCAATGTTCTCCACTGACTGCGGAATTCATGCTAGTTTAGTAGCCTTGTTTGCGTCAGTCAGTCTCTGCTTGAAGTTCGATTGTCATCTAGATGATTGCAGTCCACATACCGATACGAGGAGCAAGGAGATCAACTTCTTCGTTGCTTTTCACCTGAGTCGGATTCTCGGCCAGAGCATCATACTGCACGCCTCGCTTCTCCTTATATCCAATGCGAGGCGCAAGAAGATCGACTTCGTCGTTGCTTTTCACCTGGGTTGGGTTCTCGGCCAGTGCATCGTACTGAACACCTCTCTTCTCTTTGTAGCCGATGCGAGGCGCGAGAAGATCGACCTCATCGTTGCTTTTCACCTGAGTAGGGTTCTCAGCAAGCGCGTCGTACTGCACGCCTCGCTTGTCCTTGTACCCGATTCTGGGTGCGAGAAGGTCCACTTCTTCATTGCTGGTCACCTGGGTTGGGTTCTCAGCAAGAGCGTCGTACGCAACCTCTCGTTCTAGATGACTGTCAATCAAGATGCAGTTTTACAACGCAAGGAACGGCAGGGCTAAATAAGAGCTTGTCTCACCGGTCAGAGGAGCAGCAGCAACGAGGCTTGCGACGGCAAGAACAAGGGCAGCTGAGAATTTCATGATGATGTTGTTGTTGACGTTGAGGATGTTAATTGATTGTCCAGGAAGAATGTGTTTTTACTAGTGGTATGTGCTTTCGAAGTTGAAACTTTGATCTTGAATAATTTCCGGTAGAAGAAGGGGAACTTGTAGACGACTTGTATACCCCTCTTGATCTTCAGTAGATCATCAGCATTAATATCAAAACTAATTAAATCTCTTTACACCATCCTCTCGATCCCTCTCGTGATCGACAATCTGCCTGTCTTCACTGTATCACGGTTGCATCAAAACTAGCTGTATTTTATGCAGCAGCGTAATACGAGTCAGTTGACGTCGGCGTGCTGATTCCTGCAATTCGTCAGCATCGCCAGCAGACAGTCCTAACCCTAGAATTACCAGGATAGGAAACCTGGTACTGTACTGCATAATAGCTTTTTATCCGGAAGCGGAATTTCGGCGATTCCGGCTGTCTTTCACACGCATGCGCACGGCCAAGCCATCAACTGCATGAAGACGAGACGAATGGAATCGATGCCCTCATATCTCGATCAGTCATGTGGCATGGCATCGCCTGAAAGAAGCCGAGTATGACGCATATTCGAGAGCCGTGCGTTGCAGAATTCCAAATAAGTATCTCGTCTTCATCTACTAACTAATGTAGCTAGCTGCATGTACTGGGGTATATCACTTTTTTGACCTAAAACTTGAGGATGAGATTGTTCTTCCAAGGCTTCTGTCGTACTGCCTCTGCATGGCCATACGCGCATGGACAATTCATTCATCTGCACACAAATTAAATCGACATATCTTGATCGCTCGATTAGTCAAGGTGCATCTTTTTCTCCGGAATTGCCCGCTGATCCTGACGATGTCGTTCGTGACGAAGTCGAAGGCCTGCATCTGAGCAAGATTCCGGAATACTCCGTTCTGGCAATGAACCCACAGAGATCGGTTATTTTCATTCAGAGGAATATGTTTACGTCTGTCAGACTGTCAATTGCGTGCTCATGCTT